CAATCTTCCAATTGAGGGAAGAGCAGGCCAACTTCAGGATCTAACCCTCCAAAGACTCCCAATCATTCTTTCATTCAACGTCTCCCTTTTGGTTTCTTGTAGAATAACAATTTCCGGCTTTATTCTGTTCAAATTTTCTTTTATCATCCCTCTTTTCCTGGCTTTATTCCATCTCCCTTTTGGTTTCTTGTAGAACCCACCCGTCTCACATTCCAAGAGACAATCTTCATTGATCACCTTCTTTCCCCCTTTAATTCTTGCTTCTCTTGTCATATTTGACACTTCTTTCCAAATTTTTAAGCTCCCAAGATCCTCTTTTGGACTTGAACCCGTTTGTTGCTTTGAACCCAATGCTTTTTGAGTCTATCTTTTGAACATCTTCCCCCACCTTACCTAAAACCACCCTTTCATCACTAGAGAAAGCATTAATATGCTATAAATAAAGAACCTTTTCCTCCAAAACAACCTCTCTCCTTGTGGGAATGAAGTTTGCATTGGTTGTTCTAGGTTGGTTTTCTCCCCATTAAGACCATCAGCATCTAATAGAAAATTATCAGAAATAATTCTCTCAAGGGTTAAATTCAACTAGCTGACCAGGGTTGTGAGTTTGTTGGATTATCTCTCTCTAACTTGGCCCCTTCCCTTGGAATTAATTCGAAAGACTGATCCCTCACATGAATTACAAGAACTTGCTTGAGAAGTTCTAAGCATAGGAAAACTTACCTATTCCTTGGTCGAGGATTCACCCCCAAAAGATTCTAAGCCGAACAATCCTTGGATGTCTCTGATGACGTCGTCTCCAGCCTTGTATGGAACCATTGTAGCCTTTCTAGTTCCTCGGAAGAAATTAGATCTTCCCGTCAACCTGTTTAGCTTGTACATCAAGATATTCCATACCGTCTTCTTGCTGTCTCCAGGTAGAATGATGCTTCCAATGGCACCGCCATTGATTCTTGTGACCATGTATTCTCCCCTCATGTTCTTGAGCACCTCAATCAGCAAAACATACTGCTCCCCGTTGAACTTCTTTTTGAAACCATCAATCCTATTATTTTTGCATAAGAACTCCATTGTTTGACATATTGAAGTCACTGCACCTAAGCCGCAGAAAATGAAGAATTTCGACTGCCTATTGGATTCCTCTATTTTCACCGAACCACCATCTTTACTGAATAATATTTTGTAAAGCTTCGAACCTATTCTAGTATGTTCTAGTCATGCCGTTTTTATAATTTGTATGATCTATGAGGATGGTTTTGCACTGAACAATTTTATTCACTAGTAAAGTTTGTATTTGGGTAATGTTCTTGTTCTTGAAGTGGCATTAATCCAGTCCACTCCAGAAAGTTTGTTAGCGTTTCCAAGTTCCAACTGCCATGCAAACAAAACCACATGTAGACAACCACTCGATTTCATGAATATAGTACCAATAGAAATTTTCCGTAACATTTTCTTTTTTTTTTTGAAATTTTCTGTATTTGAATGCTGAGGAAGGAGAAAATTGAGACGAATCCGTTTGCGTGATAAATTAATTCCTAAAATTTAAACAACCAATGCAGTTAATGCCTGATTAGAGAGTTACCTGACCACAAGGATTACGGAGTTTTCTTGCCCAGGTATGATGAGGTTGGTAGGCTCCCATTGCAATTTCTGTGTCTCTTGTGCCTTCCATAGAACGCTGATTGATGTTGGCAGACCCCAATATTACATACTCATCGTCGACTATCATGCCTTTTGAGTGAACGTAAATCATAAATCTCCGGCTTTTCCGACTTAGTGCCTGGAAACATTAGTCGAGACATTAACAAGCACATTCAGAGAAAAAAAAAAACATACAGCGAAATAGCAGAAACCTAAGGCAAGACATTCACAACCACATGTACAGAAGATTCTCCATAGTTGTGTTTTGATCCCATTTATCAAAACTAATGAAACTTGCTTAAAGATCACCTCACAAATTTGATCCATTTTTCCTTTATTTTCTTCTATTTTTCTTATCAAAAAAGAAATTCAAAAGGATAGAGAGAGACACCGGAGGAGTATTTGCTGCAGGACTTCCAGTGACAACTGTGTCATTTCCATCTACGGCCTCACGGTTGCCGAGACAGAAGAAGTTTAAATAGTCTTGTGGCGAGTATGCACCCTCAAGCCCAGCTTCCACAAGAGCCTTGTAAATCGTCTCATACATCATTTGCATTGTCTTGTGCTGAAACAACCAATAATTTATAAGATATGTAAAATGCAAAGAAAGAATTCTACTTTTACTGTGTGTGAACTATATAGGAAATAAATGTAAGTGTTAAAATGTTATAACCCTTGGGTAGAACTCATCCCCAAAAGCTAGCTTGTAGGGAGAGGGTGCCCAAATGGTTATAAACCCACATGCTAAGCCCATACTTTAGCAATGTGAGACTCAACCAGGATCCTAACATACCACCACGCTTCCGACACCGACGTCCATGGCGGCCCACTCTGGATGGCCCACTCTGGCCTTTCCAGATCGCCCCTCTCCAGGTCGCCCCTCCCCAGGTCGCCCCTTCCGCAACGTGGGCCTGAGGAGGAGCATGCTCTAATACCAATTGTTATAACCCTTGGGTAGAACTCATCCCTAAAAGCTAGCTTGTAGGGAGAGGGTGCCCAAATGGTTATAAACCCACATGCTAAGCCCATACTTTAGCAATGTGGGACTCAACCAGGATCCTAACATAAAATAATGCAGTGTGCCTAGTGTGCAATTTGTTGAGCTCATTGGTTTTTGTAATTTTCTATACTATTCAACATTTTGATTAGATTTTTATATGTATTCTTCTCTCCATATGAGTTCAAACAACTGCATGAAACAAGGCAGAATAAACATAAGCAAAATAACCTTAAAAACTCCCATCAATTTGAAAATTTAAGAAATTAAAACCTTAAAACTATATATTAATGCTTCAAAAAGTTCTAATTTTAAATGACACTTTAAGCCAGTAAAAGCAAGGAGCAGAGTCCAGAATTTGGGTTGCAGATTCCAACGGATTCTCTTGTAGTTCCTCTTTTCAGTCTCTGATTCAGTGTCCAAATAGTCTTACTTTCAAACCTTCCGACTTTATCTGGAAATCTTGTGCTTCTATTCAGGCTAAGGTCTTGGCTATTTTTCCTCAGGAAACTGAATACTTGTGGCTTAGTGCAGAAGAAACATCCTAATCATGCTTTGTCTCCTAGCTGGTGTGTTATGTGGGAGAATGAGGAATCTATGGATCACCTACTACTCCATTGTAAGGTGGCTGGGAAATTATGGTCTAAGGTTCTGGGAGCTGCCTCACTTTCTTGGGTCTTTCTGCCCAAAGTAACACAATTTTGATAGAAGATTTATTTGGTTTTGGAAGGGGGCAAAAAGGTAAATCGATGTGGAAAGCCATTATTATAGCGATTCTCTGGGTGGTTTGGCTTGAGAGAAATCAGAGGATTTTTGAAGAGAATGAGATGCTTGTTGAAGACCCAATCGAGAAGGCGAAATTTCTTGCTTCCCTTGGGGCTTCTACAAATAAATCATTTAAGGACTTTCCTCTGTCCTTGATTTTGCTTAGTTGGGAAGATATTTTGGTTTAGCTGTTCTTTTTCGGGTTTGAATTATCCTTTCTGGTTTGTTTGTTTGTTTTGATTTCTTGTATTTTGTTCTTTTTTGGATGGATCTCTCATCTGTCCAATCTTTTTGTATAGATTTCATTTGATGAATGAAATTTTCATTTCCTATCAAAAAAAGCAAGGAGCAGAGTGAAGGCCTTTCAAAATCTGGAAAAGACATCTCCACTATGAGGAAACCAACCAAAATCACAATAAGTAATTGGATTCATTCATTCATAAAGCTGCTTCAAATGCACTTACACTCCACTATGCAGACTTACTGAGAAATAATATGGTAGTTAACTAGTTATGGATTTTAACAAACAAGTAGTAAATGTAGCCACCTGCCAAAATAGAATCCGTTGTGTAGCAGCACCAGTTGGCACACCCTCTGGCCACATAGGAATAACAATATAAGCAGCAAATCTCTCATTTGCTCTAATTTTATCCGCAATCTTAAGGGCAATTTCCATAGGGATCAAATTATTAGCACCTGAAGAATGAAAATGTAAGAATCCCTTCACTGCCACATTCTTGTCCAGTCAAAATAATCCAAAATACAATTTCATAATACTGCAGCAATAAAGTTCCTGGAAATGAAAAGTGATTAGTAAAAAGTAACAGATACAGTTTGGATTAATTACAGAAACTCCTCCTGAACTATACCCCTTATATCACTTTGCCCCCAATCTTTGAAACGTAAAATCCGTTTCCTCTAAACAATAAAACGTTAACAAAAAAGCCCCCTCCATTAGTTTTTTAAGAGAAATTGACATGTAATTTGTTATTTCGAGGTATTTTGGTAGCTCTATAGTTTAAAATTTAGTTTGAATTTAAAACTACTTTAAATTTGAGCATTTAATTATGATACATCTATTATTGATTGAATGTAAGTTAAAAATTTTATGAATTTTTTTTGGTAGAAAAAAAATTTTATGAAGTTTTTTTTTTTAATATTTAAATTAGTTTAGATTCAAATTAAATTTTAAACAATAAAATTATCAAAATACCCTCAAAATAACAAATTAAATGTCAATTTCAGTTAAAAACCTAATGGAGGGGGCTCTTTTGTTAACATTTCGTTATTTAGGAGGAACATATGTTACGTTTTAAAGATTAGGGGGCAAAGTGTTACAGAGGGTATAATTCAGGATGAATTTTTGTAATTAATCCATACAGTTTATATATAGCACAAAATACGAACAAGCATTGACGGTTGCAATGCCAGGACATTTTTTAGGTGGTGGTAATATAAAGCACAAAAGTAATAAGTACAGTACAATTACAAGTCTTTACTTAAGTGGGGGCACAAGCATAATTTTTTCCGACTGGGGGCATAAGTATAATTTCTTTAATTTATTAGGAAATTTTCAAAACTTTACACCCAATAAAAGAAAATTTCAAATTCTCAGTGGGGGCTCGTGCCCCCATTGAGAGCAAGACTACAGATATATACATGTAGACCTTTGACTACTTATGTATACACGCTTTTATTTTCTCAAGGACCCAATCTTCAGAGACATTTTCTTATTGCATTAATATTAACCCCTATTCAACCGAAAAATTCATAGGCCTTCTTAATTTCATACTACAATTTTAGCTACTTTTTGGGGCTTATGGCTAGAAAGGAATAATAGATCTGGGCTTGTTCATTTGCATTTTTTGAGTTAGGGTGACTTGAGTTCATATCTTGATTTGAGTTAAGGTGTATTTGAGTATGATTTGAGTTGAGAATTTAATTTGAATTTGTATTTGGATGTGCACATTTTAAGTTTGGTTTGAATTGGGAATCTATTTGAGTTTGTGTTTGGGTGGGTCAAAACTTGAATTTGTGTTTGGATAGTATTTTAATAAAAACTCAATGGTGATGGAAAATTTTAATAGGGTATATGGGTGGGGTTTTATTCGTCTCTTCATTGTGAACGCATAGAAAAAAAATCACCTCAATCGGAATTAAAATGATGGCGTTATTAAGAATAGAAAAAATATTGTTCATTAACTTAAGTTTGAGTTTAGGAACTTGAGTTGAAGGGGGAACTTGAACTCAAATTTTAGTCCCAAACTCAAGTTCAAACTCAAGTTCAAACTCAAATTTTACAAAAGAACATGAACTTGAATAAAGTTGTAACTTGAGTTTACTTTTTTTAAGTTTGGGTGCAAATGAACAAGCCCAGAGAATCTTTGAGGATCAGGAGGAGGATGGGTCTTTTCTTTGGGATAAAACAAAGTATTGGGTATCATTGTTGGTATAGGGACAAAGAATTTGGTAGACCAATCTTTTCGGATTTCATCACGAGTTGGGCTCCTTTTATTTAGCCTTTACTCGAGTTTTCTTGTGTGGTCAATGCTAAGTTTTGGTTTTAACTTTATTGTATTTTTGGGTCTGGGTCTATTGAGGATATCTCTTCCTCCTTTCCCTTTCCTACATTATTAATAAAGTTCGTTTCTTTTCAAAAAAAAAAAAATATATATATATATATATATATATGTATTACGTGCAAATGCAATCAACACAACAACGCATTTCATCTACAATTCTTGGTCTCTTCATATAAAAGATGATTGTTTCTCACCTAAATCTTTATACGAACTCCAATTGTATGAGGACCCAATGAAGTACTGATTCTCTATATAAATATAATGTTGGGCTGCACGAATGGCCTTCACATATGCTGTATGTATACTCATGTCTATCAGCACATTCTTTCCGCAAACCAGGTTCTGTTGAGGAGAATATCAATCACCAACCATACTCCAGACATCAATAGAATCTCAAAAATAAAATAGACGAGAAGATTTATCCATCAAATTTTCCATACCTTGCTTGTGGCATCTTTTGGATCCTTGGGGAAATGTTTGGCTGAGTTTGAGTCGATCGAACGAAATATCTGCATCATAAATCCAACGATAAGATACCGTAACAATAACTGTTTCTGCACTAAGCCTAGGTATACAAACAAATTAGATTATTCATCTTTTCTGGTTTGAGAAGATGTATATCTATGGGCGTGTTTATTAATTCGCAATGGATTGTAATCAGAAGAGTAAGGTGTTTGAAAAGGAAAGAAAAAGAAAACGTGAAGCGAATTAAACATTTGATTTTATTGTAGTCTTGGTCACTTGAAACTTGAATTCCATTCATGATTTAGTAAATAAACCAGTCAAAGGGAGGAAAAGGAAGCACTTGTCCTATTCTATTTCAATGGATAATATGGTAAAATGCCACTAAGGGTAATCCTAATCCCATGCATTCCACCACTTTACCAGTTGAGCAAGGTCTTAACGCAGTTTTAATATCGAATTAAGATGCCATTACCTGAACATGCCAATTTTCGGGGTCGTTCTCACTGGTGCAAGTAGCATCAGCCAATCCGATGATGTCTGGAATCCTTTCTAGCCTGAGTAAAGCATCATCATATAAGTTCCTCTTCAATTTTGACATCCCCTGCGGTTTTGAAGCCTTCAACCAGCGCTCTTCAAAGTTAGTAAGAACATCATATGCTGCGGGACCATCAATTCTAGAGTGCAAGTCATGCCATGGCTCTCTTGGACAACCAGCAACGGTACCCTGTTTGAGGTCATAATCCAAGCAGATAAATTTCAAAGTACAGGTTTATTTCATTGCCTAAGAGAAGGAAAGCATCATTTACTTGGATATTAACTTCTTTGCTATATTGGTCTTACATCCCACTAGGAATTTCTAGTGATTGACACGTACAGTAAACATGAGAATGTTTAAAACACTTGCAGTTTAACTGGATTTATGTTAAGATAACTCTACGCATTTTCAATGACTAAAGTGTTTAAAAAAAAAAAAAAAAAAACAGATTAAACTATTTAAAGACAATATGCAAGATTCTTATAATGAATATTTAGTGTATAAATATCAGTGCTTTATGAACGTGCACAAATCTAATGATAGGTGAGGTTTCCAAAAATTACTTTGGGATTTGTTTTTTTTATTTTCTCAAAAGGCCAGTCAATTCACTCATACAAGTTTTATAATAGTGATCCCTTCTGCTGGAAATTAAGTACACTTTGTGTAAATATAAAACCCCGTCAAGAACTTATAAAGTGATAATAGCATCATAAGCAGTTTTAGAAATCCCAAACAGGCATCACTCCTAATTCTTCAAAATACCTCTGATGTTTTGACTGATACAGCTGCTTGCCAATTTCTTTTTTTTTAATTTCTTTATTTTTCTAAAGATAAGTAGTAGGATCCTAACAAAAAATTCTGGTTTCTTTCTTTCTTTATTTTATTTTTTTTTTCAATGTACAAATAACATTGTTAAGTCATGGTGCGTATAAAGCTGCTCCAAAATGTGCCATTATAAAGAAAATTAAGGAGTTTAGCAACTACCGTGAAAGTAGGGTTGTGATAATCATCCTTGTGCACTGTTTGCAGTGTCCTAAACAGCGGGTGATGGGGAGTATCGTATCTTCCGTCACATAAATCGAGTCCTCCAATGAAAGCTATGATTTTTCTTCTGTTGTTTCCAGCATCAGCATCAACAATTACAGTTTTCTGATGGTGTGTATAGATTGTCTCAACTTCCTAAGAGTGCAAAAGCAATGATTTTTTTTTTAATAAGAAAACAAGTTTTATTGAAATTAATCAATTACAAAAGGGGAGGATAAGATATCCTCGCTGATAAAACAAAAACAAAGCAGAACAAACCAGAAAATCAGAAACCTAACACATCTTTCCAATTCAAAACAACCAAAGAGAAAGGAAAACCCTTAAAGGCTTTGTCAGACGATGCCCATAAGGAAGCTGTAAACTTTGCTTTCTCAAAAACTTCAATGATATCTATCTCTTTTTCCTCAAAAATTCTAGCATTTCTTTCCGACTACAGAGTCCACAAAACAGACAGCACCATGCTTTTCCACAGTACTTTTGCCATCTTGTTCAGTTCCAATCCTGCCAAATCTTCCTTCAAAACCGTACTGCAGTGAGCTGGAAAGACTCAATAAAAACCGACTTCTAATAATCATTTCTGCCAAACCGAACTTGCCACCAGACAGTGTAACAATAGATGGTCTATGGATTCTTCACTACCTCTACAAGGAACACACCAAGAAGGGGATAGAACCCTATGAGGGTTTATCTTCTGCACCAAATCACAAGTATTTAATTTCCCAAGCACAACCAAGTAAGCAAAGACTTTAATTCTATGGGGGATACTAGATTTCCAAATGAATTGAGAGGAATCAAAATTCAAGTTTTCAAGTCTATCCACTAAATAAGAAAAAAAGATCGACGCAAAAATCCCTTAGAATCACACAACCAAACTCTTTGATCAGAGGGTTAGATGGCTGAAAAGGAGAAGAATTGAGTAATTGAAGTAGAGAATACAAATCCTTTGCTTCCCTATCATTGAGGCCTCCCCTAAAACCAAGATTCCAATTTGGGTCACCATTATCGGATTGTGAACGAATTTGTGCAATAGAGGCATTAGGAAAGTCTCAGATTCTCAATAAACGAGGGAACAAAACTTCCAAAGGCTCATTCACACACCATTTGTCTTTCCAAAACAAAATTTTAGTCCCATCCCCAACTCTCAATTTTGTGTTTTGAAGGAAAACATCCAACCCTTAAGAGACAAACTTCCATGGTTTTCCAACATATCCACCACCGACTCAGGCAATATTCGTCGTTAAAAGGTAGAAATGGTGGCACAACTGTGTACAATTGTATTTCCAAAATTTGAATGCTGTAAAGCCAACTTCCCACATAGTACTCTCGGAAATCTTTAAAAGTAACGCCCAAAATTGCACATGTAATCAGGGGAAATTAGCCAAACCAACCACCAATAATAAACAAAATGTAGGAAACTATAAGCATTATTCCAGTAAGGCCTTTGTTGCTCACTAACAGTAAGTGATTTCTAAGAAGTTATATCAAATAGAAATTCAAGATAAAGAAAGAGAATTTACAACTTTAGACACTGATGTCTTGAGAAAACTGGTAAAAATAACTAGAAAATGAAAGTCAATTAGTTTTGCCTTACCCTTTGCTTTATCCAACTGTGTCGTTTTCCAGCACTGCGGGGGCAGAGTAGAACTTGCACAGATGAGTGCTTGAAAAATCGCCGAGTTTCCTCATCGTGAGTTTGCATGATTCCATCCTGCATTGATATTTCAGTTGAAGGGAAGAATAAATACAACAGTAAGAAGTCTAAATAGAGAGTAAACTTTCCAAAATAATTAACAAAGACAAAATTCTGATGAGAAAATATTAAAATGACACGAAACTCATTAAACTCCCTAGAAGACAAAACAAAATGAAGTTAACGAATATGTATAATCTGAAAATGGGAGATTCAACTTCTTAAGGACGAATAAAAAATATCATATTTAGCACACTTGTTAAATTATTTTTAAGACAATTATCTCAATCTAAGTCAGTGGATTAAGTTGCTTCCTATCCATACAAAGCTACAAACACTTTCATATTAACAGAAGTAACCAAGTTGCTTCCATCTTGAGCCACCACATAACGAATCACAATGACCAACTACTAGCATTTTTTATTTTTAATTCAAAACAAAAAAGTGATGCTCTTACGATGATCTAAAACAAGTAAAGAAGTTATAAAAATCATCAAAAACAGAGAGATTATATTCAATTAACCATACTAAAGTAATGTATACCCTGAAATAGATGAGCAAAGCAGATCTAATAAAAGACAAGATACTCACTGTTTTATAACCCAGAATACTCCTTGAAGTGGGATCATCCCAAATAAGCAGCAGCACTCTCACTCCTTCTTGAGACTTGGACCTCAAAATATCCCCTAGGCTGAAATTTGATGCATGACTAGCATCTCGAACTAGTTTAACGTTATGCCACACTGACCACCCCGTTATGTAAATTAAACGTCGGGCCTGACGTATTGCATCGAAAATGTCTTGCCAACACTTCCCATGGACGTATGAGAAGTCCCCATCAAGTCTCAATTCCGGAAGGCACCCATCTGGAACATCGGCATCCTGATAAAGAGTAACTCTGCCACCTTTCCTAAGGGGGAAATAGGTCCCGGGAACTCCATAATAGTTGGGGCCTGCCCCAACTCCAGCATGGTATATGCTTAGCTTCTCCATTGGTATGTATTGAATTGAAAGTTTCAAAACAGCTCCTTGCTTGGAAGGCTTCCCACTAGTATTCAGGATAGGGTAAACCCCCTCAACCCTGGCTCCTGAGTATATCTGTTCAACTGGAATCGCCACAACTCCTATAAGCTGTGACCCTACAACATCACTATCTTTAACGACAAAGTGCACTTCAGGAGCATAATGCGCTACCGGAACATTGAAATGCTGCTCCCAAACAGGATCCTCACAATTGCTAATCACATAAGTCCTCCCAATTACAGCATTGGACACTGCAATCGACACATACGGATCACTAGTAATCTTATTCTTCATGTGCCCTTCAATTTTGTTGGTCACATTCCCTGGCAACCTTGCAAACATATCCCCCAAAGTTTTGTGAAACATGTCCATGTTCGGGAGGTTTTTCGCATCATAGACCCAAATATCTAAAATACCATGTAAAAGCAATACCTTCAAGGACCCTTTATACTGCTGTGGCACAATTTGCAAGGTCTGACTATGCTGTGACCCATTGAATGAGCCCGAATGTGAATATACAGAATGACTAGGTGAACCCACCTGATCCAAATAAGAACCTTCCCAGTTACTCGAAAACGAGCTATTGGGGTACCCATAAAACTCCCCATGCCTATCATACCTAGCACTTTGAGGAGAACTAGTTGGCACTGCAGGCGCTGGGGGTGATGCAGGGGCAGTCGGGTGACTATCAGACAGATGCACATTACTCAAAAGATCATCCAGAGGAGGGTAAACAAGTGGGGTTGTAGAAGAGACAGATTCGGCATCAAATTCATGATGTGCAGAATTCCCAACTCCAGCATAACTATAACTCTCTTGCCTATGATAATGATGATTCGAGAAGCTATCGGCACGAGGAGCGACTTGGGGTGATGGGACTTCAACAGATGGGTAATTTGCAGTGGATTGCTCATTGTGAAAATGGCCTGATGATGAGCCATATTGGAAACTGTCATGGTGTTGAAGGGATGGCTGAGAAGAACCATGAGCTACGGGAGGAGCGGGACACGGATATGGGTACAGATATGGAGGGGAATAATGGGAAGTTGGAGGAGGATGGTGATAATCTACAGGTCCTGAATGTGAGGTTGAAAATGGTTGTTGTGGGTATGCTTGAGATGAGTAGGCAGAATTGTATTGGTATGGATATGGATATGAAGCAGGAGCAGGAGCTGGGGCTGGTGCTGGTGGATATGGATCTGAAATGGGAGGTGGGTATTGTGGAGGAGGATTAGGAGGAGTATTATGAGGGTATGTATATGAGTTTTGATATGGGTATGAATTTGAAGAACCGTAATTATCCATTACTGAACACTAAAGTAAGGTTCTTTACACCAACAACTGCATAAACAAATTGTGCATAAAGATCAAAAGATAACATAACATATATAAACGGATCAAAAGACAATATAACATATATAAACGGATTCTCAATTCTAATGTACACAAAGAACTTCAATTGAAATAGATTGGCAAGAACAAGTTTTGAAATGAAACAAATATGGGGAAAAACAGGCAAAAAGGAGGAGAAGTATTTAACTTTCCTGGGTATAACGATTTGATAAAAAGTAAACAAAAAAAGAAAGAAAGATTGGATTCTGTTTGAAGAAAGGACAATAAGAAAAGGAGAGATCAATTGATATTTTCTCAGTGACAGAGAAAAATTTAACTTGCAACAGATAAGACAAAAAGAGAGAGCTTTATTATGAAAGACGTTACCTTTCGGGGTTTAAGGAGGAAAGAATGATGAATATAATATCCACTTCGGAACCTTCAAAGAATGGAAGAAGAAATAGAAGAGAAGTTTCAGAGGGAGCGAAAAGAAGGACGTTAGTTACAATTTTACAATCTTCTATATGCTTTGACAATCTCCAGTCTCAGGTATACGCCATTTGCAGGTATTAGCTATCTTTCTTTATTTAATTAGGATATTTTGCGCATTTATTCCCTCTCTCTCTCTCTTTTTGTTTCTTCTTTTTTTCCTTTTTTCCTTTTTTTTTTTTTTTTTTTGATAGGGGCACATTTGTTCTTTAACCTGTGAGGTTTAGACAACTTACTTTAATTCTAATAAAATTATTATTGCAATGCGATGTATTTTGATTATATTAAATTAGTGTAAGTTACTTCGTAAACTTCAGTGTACGTTTAGTTTATAGATTCAGAATCATTCTCCAATGCGATGTATTTTGATTATATTAAATTAGTGTAAGTTACTTCGTAAAATTCAGTGTACGTTTAGTTCATAGATTCAGAATCATTCTTATTTTACGTGTATTTTTTATGAGAGAAAAATACTATAAAAAATTATAAATTATGATTCAGAATTAAAGACGAATATAAAAAATAAACGTCCTCTCAATTATTTTTATATTTTGTTGGGCAAAAACACATAAAAATTAGTATTCTTATGGAATATTTTGTCGGGTAAAAAGACTTAAGATTAGTATTCTTATGGAATTGTCATTCTTTCACATGGTTGAATCACAATTCTTAAAGCGAACTAGTTGAATAATCATTCCATTCTAAAACATATATTAATTAAAATTTTCTCTCCTTAAATTATCCCTAGCAATATTAGAAAATTTACTTTAAATACCCCCATCCCTCCCAAATTTACTTTAAAAACTTTTTGAGTGAGTAGTCATATATTAAAGTTAAAATTATTAATAGGACGTTTGGTTATAGATTCAGAACCATAATTTATGATTCTCATTTTTAAAAATCAAATTTTTTGTGAGAAAAAAAACATTGTAGACAACCAAAAACCATGATTCAGAACTAAAAACGAGCCTTAGAAACAAACATCCCATAAAAATATTGGTTATATATATCAAATAAAATATTCACTTTAAATATCAAGGTAAGAAATAACTTGAAACATACTTGAATTAGTTTAAATACATTATTAATGAATAAAATGAAAGGGTATTTTAGTAAAAACTTATACTATTACATTCTATTTCAATGTCTAACCAAACACAATAATTGTAATTTCAATATTGATTCTAATGCTCAACCGAACAATGGAATTTGAATAAATCATTAGTCTATTCCCAATTTTATTCCATTATATTCCTATTCATATTCCTATTTTTATTTTATTCCATCAAACTAAACGTACCCTTAGTGATGAAAAATCACATTTGATAAAAAATTTCAATATCTCAATTCAAAACGTAACGCAAATCTTTTGATTGCACAACTCTTAGGATGCGTTTGGAATTGGTTTCAAAATGATTTTATTTTCTATATGAAAATGGAAATGAAAACGTTTTCATTTTCATTTTGAAATTATTTCTGAAAATGTGTTTGGTAGTTTTATTTAGAGATTAATTTCAGTTTTAAAAAAACCTGAAACTGCGTTTGGTGGTTTAATTTTTGAAAACATGTAATAGTATTTAATATATTAAATAAATAATCAAATTAAATTAAAAAAATTTAAAGACTAAAATTAACAAACAAACAGAACAAAAATTAGAAAAACAAAAATAAAAAACAGATCAGATTGATTAAAAAACATTAAAAAAAGACCACAAATCTGAAGAACACATTCTTCCCCATCTCTGACCTTCTTCTCTGTTCATTGAAACAAAGCAAATACCAATACCATTTATCTTTCTCGTCCTCGTCTTCTCGCTGTCACAACCCACCACCCCGGAAGCCGTCGCAAACTCAACAGAGGTCACCGTCATAGTAGAATCACCACCCTAGCTTCTTGTCGATCAACCCACCACCCTACCCTTTCTTCAGTCACTTCACCACCACAACCAGCCGTTGCCACCTTACCACTCTTCCACAGATCGTGGACGGGCCTCCTACGATTGAGGTTGTACAGGACTCAGCTCGACTCTTTGTCAAAATGTCGTGCATCCCCAACCCACACAAATGTCGACCCTACACCGCCGCCGTTCCCCGCTAGCAAAGCCACCTCCTCCGCCTGCCTAACCCGGTGACCATTGCGCCATGCCTCTGGTGCGAAGCCCAACCTCGTGCTCAAATCTGATTTGTGCTTGGAATTAGAGAGATTAAGGGCCAACCTCCAGATCTAATTATTTTGTTACTTTTTTTTAACTTGATTTCTACACATCCTTAATCATACTTAATCAATTTAAAAGAAGTGGTTTTGAATTCAGGAAATTGGAGATCGAGATGTTTCCTTGCTTAGAGGCCTTTGATTGTATTTGAAAAAGGAAAACCGGCAAAGTCTCTGGTCTAGGATGAAGAGAGAAAAGGAAAACGGAGAAAATGAAAACAAGAATAAGTCGTTTTCAGATTTTTAGAAAAGGACAAAAACGTTTTTATTTTCAATTTTTAGAAAATTTTGCACCAAACGCGTTTTGTCTACACGTTTTCATTTTTTATCCTCGAAAAACGTGAAAAACGGAAACAAAAACAGAAACAAACAGGCCCTTAGCCTCTTAAATCTGATAAAAAATCAAAATAAATTTAATGAAGTATTATTACAAAAATTCCCTCTGAATTATATATGTTGTAACACTTTACTCCTTAATTTTTAAACGTAACGTCCGTTTTTCGTGAACAATAAAATGTTAACAAAAAACATTTCTCTATTGAGTTTTTTTTAACAAAAATTGACATTAAATTTATTGTTTTAGAGTATTTTAGTAGTTTTTTAACATCTCAAGGAGCAAATATGCAAATTGATAAATACTTTTTTAGTTTATATGTTTTCTGGTGTGAGATCTGCAAACTAGATTACAGATTGAGACGGTTACCTATAAATTGTGCTTCTAGTTGAGAAGCACTATTTGACTTGCCAGGTGTTGCCCACCAATTCAGCCTCACACAACCAATATTCTTACCTTTTTTTCTTGTGCGTCTTGTTTTCAACTCTTCTCAGAGCGCACACGCAAATGCTTGGACCAAGAAAATAGAGCAATTGAGCAAATAATGCTGACATAAAATGAATTTATTTTCTGATTAGCATGCTCTCAACCAATTTCCTTTTTTTTTTTTTTTAAATATATATATATATATATATTTAACGTTTAATCTAATCGAATCTAATCTAATCTAATAATACACAAAATAGTCAACTTTTTCTTAATACTTCTCTTTTCTAGGGTTCTCATGTGGAGCTCTTTATTCTCTTCCGTTTCTTCTTTTTTTTTCCTTTTTTATCTTTACTAGTTTTGTAATGTGCTCCGTATGTATTATCGTATTAGAGGCACCTGAAGAGTTTATTGTTTACCAAATAATGATAAATTCATTTATTCAATCTTTTTGAATTTATATCAAAAGGGAATATGTGTAAAAATAACAATTGATAAAAAAAATTAAATAAAGACACATTTGAAGAAAATTATTTTAAGCAACTAAAAATAAAATATGAACACATGCAAAAAATTAATCATAGGAGTAAAGTGGGGAATAACATTTTTTAAAAAAAACAACAAGAAAAATTAAAATGTAAAAAAAATTCACAAAACAATAAAGATTAAAAAAAAACAAAAAAACGAAAAAATAATTTGATTAGGATATTTTGCGCATTTGTTCTCTCTCTCTTTTGTTTCTTCTTTTTTTCCTTTTTTCCTTTTTTTTTTTTTTTGATAGGTGCACATTTGTTCTTTATCCTGTGAGGTTTAGACAACTTACTTTAATTCTAATAAAATTATTATTGCAATGCCACGTATTTTGATTATATTAAATTAGGGTACGTTAATTCTTAAAATTCAGTTATTTTTATATTTTGTTGGGCAAAAGGACTTAAAAATTGATATTCTTATGGAATATTTTGTTGGGCAAAAAGACTTATAAGAATTATGGTGCGTTCACTTCACAAATTATAATTTTGTGATTAGAGTTGAAAAAGTGGATTTTAGTTGTTTTTAATTGGAGTTGTAATGTGAATTTTGAGTTGAGTGTTTAATAAGAGATTAATTTAACATTTAAAACTTCAATTTTGTGTTCACTTGCACTAATCCAAACTCACAACTTACACAAATTAACATTCAGCCCATATGCATATATTCTTCTAAAACGTGGACATTCAGCGCCATATTAACACAAAATCATAAGTTGTATACAAATGTTCTTCATTTATATATATATATATACAAACATATAATAATCTATCCATTATAAAAGCAACAAACTCATTCTAAAGAAAGTCTAATTTCTAGTCCAATTAGTTAACAAACGCATCTGAATATATGGTTCATAAGTAATACACAAATAATAGTCTATCGATGCCGATTATTTTCGAATGCAGCCCACATAGTACCAGCTATTTCGTCCCTCAATATATTTATTTGTTGTCGTTGCGGATGGTTATGATGTTGTTGGGTTTTCCGATCCGGATTGTGATTTTGATTCACATCTTGATCCGCATTAAGTGGATCAATTTCTACAACCGGAATGGCGTCTCTCATGTACTGGGTGAGTGATTAACGCCCAAAAGTGATATTCACAAGCGGTCAATTGTAGCACAGAAGGGCGGTCGTATCCACAAAGAGATAACAAAATAACAAGAAAGACTAATAGAATAAGAGCGTTAGAGAAAAGTGAATTAAAGAAAAAGAATAGTTTTTGAGATTTTGTTGCAAATAAAATAGAAAGGAGGGAATTTGTATGAAGAAAATTCAATAATAAAAAC